GCTTGGGGCTGAGGGCTGCAGGGGGTAAGGATCCAGGGTTGAAGGTTCAGGGTTTAGGGGTTTAGGGGTTTAGGGTTCAGGGGTTTAGGGTTTAGGGGTTTAGGGTTTAGGGTGTAGAGTTTAGGGTTTACGCTTTAGGGGTTTAGGGTTTAGGGTTTAGGGGTTTAGGGTTTAGGGTTTAGGGGTTTAGGGTGTAGAGTTTAGGGTTTCGGGTTTAGGGGTTTGGGGTTTGGGTTTGGGTTCTAGAGGTGAGGGCTGGGATTCACACGGGCCCACACGACAAGTCGAGAGGGCTCCGGCCCAAATCCGTCTCCGAGCGAGCTGGGTGCACGGCAGCTGCAACTCTGGAAACGACCTGGGGAGTATTCGGCTGAGGGTCCCTAAACCCTAAACCCTACACCCTAAACCCTAAACCCGAAGCCCTAAACCCGAAGCCCTAAACCCCAAACTCTAAACCCTAATGCTTGAGAGTTTAGGTTTTGGGGTATAGGTTCCGGGGAAAGAACCACAAGACCCCTCAAGTTTGTTCCTGGGTTAGGGTTTTCAGGTGCAGCTACACTGCGGCGGTCCCGGAGGTAGACCTCAATAACTTAGCTAATAAACCCCAAACTCGAAGGTCAAAACTCTAAACCCAAAGCCCTGGACCCCAAACTGTAGACCCAAAGCCCTAGCCCTCAACGCTAACCTTTCAACCCGAAGCCTTAAACTTTACGCCGATACCCTAAACCCTTACCAAAAAAAAACTTCTGCTTTGTTCTACCAGCTGGGAGTTTCGATTTAGCAAGGCCTATTTTGTCTCCTCAAGCTAGTGCTAGGGTTTACTGTTTAGTGTTTAAGCCTTCAATATTCGGGCCATAATACTCGGAATAGGGTCGGGGGAGCATATTATACTATAACTACAAGGAACAGTATAGGTAATTATTTGCGCTTCTACATCGTCCACCAGCAAGTGACAACTGCACCAGGAATCATTGGTGGAACAAACACCGGTCCTGGTGACAGTACTGTAGGCCGGTAGGACTAACGGCGCAGCAACATGCAGAGTAGCATCAGCAATAGACCAGAACGACAATAGTAGCAGCAAATAGAGAAAGGCAGTTTTACGCTTATGACTATCAGCATCATGGTCAACACCAAACGATGCATAAGCATAACAGCATCCGTAGTGACTGCCATGACAAGACGAGACCTAAAGCAAGAAACCCGTCTAACCTTTGGCTTGATACTGTGGGGCTAAAACAGCCTGATGAGCTTCCCTTTACGGCTTAACGCTCCCCTGCAGAGTTCCCCAGGCATCCGCGCAAAGAGCGGAAGCCGTGACGTGCCTGAGGGAAAGCAACAGGTGCGAAGCCGCTGTCGGCTTTCTGTGGGGTGTGGTGTTCAAGGCTCTGGGGCTAGGGTCTGGGGGCTTTGGGTTTACGGATTTGGGGGTTAGGCTTCAAGGCGTCTCGGCTCGAGGTAGTTTTCTGCTTGTTCGGTTCTCGCCGTTCTCGTGGCGTTGCAAGCGCCCGCGCTCCACCCCGGTGTGGTCGTGACTTCTCGTGTGGAGGGGTTCTCACAGTTTCTCGGCGGCTTCCCGGTGCACTCTGGACTCTGGTCTTGCCGAACTACGTGACTTTCCAGCTGCCTGTGCCCACGGCCTGTCAGTCAGCTCCTTGGGGTTGGCCCTGGCCTGTCGGTCGTTTCAGCCTGGTGTCTTTTCAAGTCGACGACAGGGCTAAGCGCTGGCGTCCTTTTTGGAGAAAAAAGCCGGCACGGATCCTTGTTCGTTGCGGCCTTTTGCTGTCACTTTCCCTGGCGTTCTCTGCTCTGGCTCACTTAGTGGCTCTGCTGCGGCTCACTTCTGATGAAGGGATGCTCTTCTGCAGTGCCTGGCTCTGCAGTAGGTCCTTCCTTCTGTTTTGGTGAGACAGCCGAGCACTCGTAGTTTGTGATTCTGGCTTTGTAGTGTGTGTTCGCTACGCTCCTTTGTCCCTCGCGCTTCGGCTCGCTGGGGGCAGGGCTTCTGGCTCCAAGTTTCACTTCTGGGGTGTGCTCGCAGAGTGCGGGCAGGTCCCTTGCTAAGTTCTTTCCGTGCACTTTGGTGCACTTTGGTGCCGGTCGTGGCCGGGGGCCTCGCTCTGATGTGAGCCCCAGCTGCCGATTTTGTTTTACGTCGGCTTCACTTTTGTCTCGCCCGGCATGTACCTTCCGCCGTTTCGGCCGCAACAGTTATTGCGAGTGCCGCTTTTCGGCCGTCTATTGCATTGACCGCGCGGGATCGTCCCTTGTGCGAGTGAGTGAGAGTGAGTGAGGTTAGGCTTCCCGTGCTAGTGCTTGCATCGCATCGCTTTCCAGGTTCTTCCTTGGGCTTGCGTGATGCAGGAAGCACATGCATATGCATAAAGGACTCTTCGCTGTTGGAGGATATGCTGCAAGAAATACATGACCGTCAGACAGAGTCCAAACCGAAGACTGTTGCAGACGGTTGTGCTGCCGCCGCAAGCTTTGCTTGTGTTGGTGTTTCTCCTGCTTACCGTATTACTCTAAACCCTACACCCTAAACCCTAAAACACCCGAAATATCGACACCCAACCCCAAGAATCCAAAGCGGAAGCCAGCACAACTGCGTGGGAGGGCTGAGGCTGTTGAGGATCTCATGGGGCCGCTTGTTTTTGGTCATTCTTATAAGGATCCTAGCCCTAAGGCTCTACATTGGGGTCCGTTATTGTGGGCCTTATGGGCATGAGGCTAAGGAGACTCGAGGCTGAGGGCTCCCTTCAACAGAGGACGTGGGGTTTAGGGCTTAAGGGTTTGGGGTTAAGGGCTTGGGGCTTAGGGTTTAGGGTTTAGGATTTGGGGTTTAGGGCTTAGGGCTTAGGGTTTAGGGTTCCAGGTTTAGGAATGAAAGTCAACCGAATATCGTCGTCCGAATCACAGCAACGGTCTAAGAACACCCAAGAAAGACCCTTACAGATCCCTTAGGAAAAGCATCAACCTCGAACCCTTAAACCCTTCATAAGCCCAAAAACCGTACAACTGCAATACTAAGAACCACCCCCATGTCCCCATGGACACCTTATAGAGGAACCTCAAAGGGACCCGAAACCCAAGAAAAAACAAACCCCAAACCCCAAAACCTGAACCCCAAACCTAAACCCCAAACCCCTAAACCCTAAACCTCTAAACTTCCTAAACCCTCGACCCAAAACTCTAAACCTTGAAACCGTAATGCTGAGAAACCCCACATCAGACTGAGAAGTTGGCCAGCAATGCGTAACGGAGGCAAGAAGGCCGCAACGGCGCGGGGCCTGGCGCAGGTTTGCGGTTTGGGGTTTTCGGTTTAGGACTTTTTTTCTGGGATTTCGGGTAGGAGTGGAGGGTTCAGGGTTTGGGGTTTCGGCTTCGTTGTAATTGAGGAGGTGGGTCGGTTCCTGGCTCTAGGGGACTCAGGGCCCTAAACTTACAGGGTGGATAGGGGGCCCCTGTGGAGAGGACCGAATGCGGGCAAATGGGAAACCCATTAGGCCCCATTAGGTTAGGGTTTAGGGTTTCGGGTTTAGGGTTTTGGGTTTAGGAGCCAGGGTTTAGGGGTTCAGGTTTACAGCAGTTAGGATCTGCAGGCCTTGTATCGTTGTCTTGCTTCGTCTCAGAGGAGTGTTCTTTGCATGGAAAGAGGGGTTTCCGAAAAAGGGGACCGTAAGATAGTACCCTAAATAGTAGGATCCTTATTACAAGGGCCCCAAAATAAGGTACCCCTTATTATTTTCGGAAACTCCCAAATAGCATTCTGACACGCAGCGAACGAGCCGAGAATTTTGGGTGCACACACCAGCCTCTTGAAACGAAGAAGATACGATGTAGGTTACAATACCACGGTATACCATGTATAGTGTATCATAATCTACAATAATACTCCAAAGCAACATCAAAGGCCATCATATGCGATTAGGGCATAACAGACACTCATGTTCTCAAACCGTGATTATAAGAACCGAAAGCTCCAATGCCTTCATGCCGGCGAAGTGCCAGACGCAGCACCCACAGCACTTCGGCATCCTTGACTTTTGTGTTTAGGATTTAGGATTTGTTTAACTGTACCGGTCTTTGACTCAGCGAGCGATCGTCCGACCCACCGGTTCGGGGTTTAGGGTTTAGGGTTGGTTTGGGGGGGTTGGGTTTAGGGTGCAGAAGCACAACTTCAGTGCAAGTTTCCATGTGGGAAGTCTTGCTTGGTCCCTCGTTTCTGGGTGAACCTCTCCGACTTAGGTTCGGGGGTAGTACTTGAGGGTCCTATCCTTCCTGAGGTGATCTTGTACCCGACAATTGAACGCCGGGGATACGGCGCACTTGCATGCAATCGAGCCTATGCGAAGTTAGGCGTTGGGGTTTGTGGTTCGGTATAGGTAGTAGTCAAAATTATGGTCCCTTTTGGGGTACCCTAAATAATAGGTGCCGCATTATAATAAGGACCCACTTGGGACCATAATTTTGATAACCACCCGTATAGGAGATCCACCAGCTGACGGGGAGGTCCAACATGCTTGAGACCGGGCAGAAGTGAAGCTTCCACCTTCAAGTCAAGGAACCCACATCCGTTTGGGTTTAGGGTTTCGGGTTTCGGGTTTAGGGTTTAGGGTTTAGAAAATGTGGTCGAAGTGTGTGCGAAAGATTGAAGATGGCTATGTGGACTGTGGGCGTTATCCGCATTTTAAGGGTGTTCGACCATGTTCCCGCTGTTGCCCCGGCGCACAATAAGCAAGTACCAGAATCGCATGTACGCACAAAGGAAGCCCAGTAACCCCAAACTAGAGCCGCAAACCGTAGACGCTAAACCCGCGAACTAAAACCCCAGAATCAATGTACCTTAACCCTATGCCCTAAACCGTACCTCCTAGCTCAGCGCCAGCCTTCCACTGCTTCAGATGTTCAGCACAGCTACTCAAGAGTTCTGTGGCAGACGACAGAAAACCCTTCAACCCCAGAATCGTAAACCCTGAAGCCCTAAACCCTCATCGGTCCTCGTACTCACGACTCTCGACGTCGCGCAAGAGACCCTGTAAGTCCTCAACAACCCGGAATCACTGACAGACGACTGCCCTTTCAAAATTTGCCGGGAAGGACATAGTGTGGACTACTACATCCCCTAATCGAGGAGGCAATTATCAAGGTTTCAAGAGCCTGCTGGTTTGGAACATGGACATCCAGGCTTACGACTTCCCGCAATGACGTGCTTAAGCGCAAAGAACTTGCAAGAAATCGTTCAACAAATCCAATAGATACTGCACCGAAACCACCACGGACTGCTGAACTTTCAGTACCAGCGCCAATGACGCTGTGTTTTCAGTGCCTGAGAAATAAACCGGAATCAAAACGGACGTGCGAATGCATCATCTTCACGTGCTGCAGAAAAACAGGTGTGAAGATCGCGCATCTGTCTTGAAGACTTCGACGTAAAAACTTGCATCCGGTCGTTGAGCACGGACGGCATGCGTCAGCTTGCCAATGAGTTGTACAGAACCTTGTGTCTGCGGCCCACACAGTAACCGACAAATTTGTCCGTAAACGACAACGTTCCTACGACAGTGAGCACTAACGCTGCCAACTATCTGGCCAATTCTGCACTGTGACGGTAAAGATCTTTAAAACCAGAATCGAGGCCAGCCCTTTCCGAGATGGCGACACACGCACTGCCAGTGCTGCCAAGGAACCCCACCGATTGGGATCCAAATAATGGCACCAGTAAAGATCGGATTCCCCGCGGGATGTACAAGTTGGACGCCTAGAGACGACCGCCATACAAACGCGCAAAATATGCAAGAGCGCGGCACAAGCACCGACCGTCCAATCTCTCAAGGTGATCTTTTGAGAGTGATCGTGGCAGTGAGCACGAGTGGACGGGATGTCGGGAACTTCCCAGGTCACGACGAGCAGGTGGGGTTTTACCAGTGTTTGCTGCAGCTGCCATGCAGTACCACATCACGATAGCAACTGACAAATATTCAATAAGATTGTTCGGACCAAGTCCATGCCCCGCACCCCTCGGCACCCCTCCCCCCAGAACATGGATCCAACTTACAAGCCCTCAAGAAATTTCCCCATGACCTCAACTGTCTCGCTCTCGTGAACCGCAAAATCCTCACAGTCCTAAACCGCTGCCATAGCTAAACACCTCAGCAACTCAATGACCAGAAGCCATAAATCCTCAACCTAAACCCTAAACCCTAAACCCCCAAACCCCAAAAACCCTGAAACTTCGCACCCTACAAAAACTGAACCTAAATACCCCA